GGGAACTTCCAGGCAAAATTGGAAGCTTCCGGCAATCCTGTCATAGCATCCTGACTGGCCATGCCCCTTTGTCACACAAGTTTCCTGCTCCATTATCTACCTTTCCCTTGACCTTGGTGCTCTCAGGAGGAGGCTGCTATCCTCATTATCTAGGTGTCCCTAGAATCTACCTGCTGGAACCTGCTAGAACTTGCTCCCTGGCAAACATGGTGAACATTGAGCTGAGTGTGAAGGGCCAGCTCTGGAAACCAGCCAGACGAGACTTCTTCCCGATCTTCTCCGGTTCTCACCCATTGCTCTACAACCAAAGCAAGGTCACTGTCAACCCATCTTGGAGGTAGAAGAAACAGCAGAGCCCTCGTAGCCACCCCTCACCCCTAAGCAAACTGAAGACATCTCTGGAACTTAGTCAAGGGCAGATGCTTTGCTCACGCTGGTAAAAGTCAGGCTGCATTGTCTGGGCCTAGCCCCACTATTTATATATGAAATAGATGTGTCATGCATGATGTCATTTTCAAAATTAAAAAAATTCTCATTTCATTAATATGGTTGAAGTGACTTGACTTTGATTACTTGATCATATCAAATGATCTGTGAGTCTGTGTGTGTGTGTGTGTGTGTGTGTGTGTGTGTGTGTGTGTACGTATAAAGCCTGAGATAAAACTATTACTTAAAGCCGGGCGCTAGTGGCTCACGCCTGTAATCCTAGCTACTCAGGAGGCTGAAATCTGAGGATCTCGGTTCAAAGCCAGCCTGGGCAGGAGAGACTGTGAGACTCCTATCTCCAATAAACCACCAGAAAACTGGAAGTGGCGCTGTAGCTCAAGTGGTAGAGCGCTCGCCTTGAGCTGAAGAGCTGAAGGACAGCACCCAGGCCCACGGCCCAAGCCCCACGACCGACCAAAAAAAACAAAAACAAAAAAAACTATTACTTATCCAGAATATACAAAGAACTATGAAATAATATGGGAAGACTAAATTGAAACCTCTTTGTACAACTACTTAAAGATAATTTTTAAAATAAATACCACTAAGAACAACTACTTAAAGATAATTTTTAAAATAAATACCACTAAGTGAGAAAAAATTCAAGCCAGGCATAAGTGGCTCAGTCCTGTAATCCTAACTACTCAAAAGGCTGAGATCTGAGGATGATGGTTTAAAGCCAGCCCAGACAGGAAAGTCCATGAGACTTTTGTCTCCAACTAACAACCAGAAAACTGGAACTGAGCTTTGGCTCAAAGTGGTAAAGCAATAGCCTTGAGCAAAAGAGCTCAAGGACAGTGCTTGGGCACTTGCCCAGTGTTCAAGGCCCAAAACAAAACAACAACAACAAAAAAAAACAAAACAACCAGAAATATTGTCTTAAAATAATGGAAGATAGAAGTGAAATATCAAGACCGTAGCAAAAGGTGCACACTGGTGGCTCACACTTGTAATCCTAGTTACTCAGAAGGCTAAAATTTGAGGATTGAGGTTTGAAGCCAGCCTAGACAGACAAATCTGAGAGACTCTTGGCTCAACCAGAAAAAAGCGGGGCTGGGAAGGTGGCTCAGTGGTAGAGCGCTTGCCTTACATGCATGAGGCCCTGGGATCGATTTCTCAGCACCACATAAGCAGAAAAAGCCGGAAGTGGTGCTGTGGCTCAAGTGGTGAGCGCTAGCCTTGAGCTGAAGAGCTGAGGGACAGCAACCAGGCCCAGTGTTCAGACCCCACAACTGACAATAAATAAATAAATAAGTAAATAAATAAATGAAAAAAGTTAGACCTTGAGTTGTGGCTCAAGTGGTAGAGCACTGGCATAAGCACAAATACCAAACAAAAGCATGAGACTCTGAGTTCAAGCTCTGGTATTAGAACAAGGCAGCGGGTGGGAGAGAGAGCCAGGTGCTGGTGGTTTATGCCTGTAATCCTAGCTACTCAGGAGGATGAAATCTGAGGATTGAGGTTTAAAGACAGCAGAAAAATTTCTGAGACTCTTATCTCCAATTAACCACCAAAAAGCCAGAAGTGGGTCTGTGGTTCAAGTGGTGGATCACTAGCCTTGAGCAAGAAAAGCTCAGGGACAGCACCCAGTCACGTTCATGTGCACACACGCACGCGCACACACACACACACACACACACACACACACAAGTAGTAGCAGAGCCATACTACCTCTTATGGCTCTAGGAAGGATCAATTGCAGCAGTCTTGTTCTAGTAGTTTCTGTGGTTGGTAGTCTTCACAGGATCTTCTCCCTGTGGGCATGTCTGTGCCTAAATTTCCCTCTTTTTGCAGTGGAGGTGTGACTCAAATGGTAGAGTGCCAGCTTGCATAAGATAGCTTAAGAACAGTGTCCAGGCCCTGAGCTTAAGCCTTAGTACTGGCACCCTAAAAAAAGCAGCAGGGTTGGAGGCATGGCTCAATTGGTAAAGTTCTGATGTGAACAAAAGTGTCAGGTACTGAGATTGATACCAGTCTTGGACAAAAAAAAAAAAATAGAATAAAGAAAAAATAGCTCCAAGTTCTCTTCTTTATTAAGGTATCAGTTATAGTGGAGTAGGCTCCCTCCCCACTCCTCACCTCCAAAATTTCATTTAAAAAGGGGGGGGTCATATTCTGAGAGACTAGGGGTTAGACTTTCAATGTATGAATTTTGCAAGGGACACAACAATAGTTGTGTTGTTAGCAATGCTTTTTGCAAGCCAGAAAGCTGGCACCAGGGATTATAGATTCTGTGGTCCTGCCCATAGGAAAGGAAAAGGATTGTCTTGGTGAGTAGAAGAATGGATCAGAAGCCAAGCACCAGTGGTTCATGCCTATAATCCTAGCTACTCGGGAGGCTGAGATCGATCTGAGGATTGTGGTTCAAAGCTGGCCTAGGCAGGGAAGTCCATGAGACAATTATCTTCAATTAACCATCAAAAAGCCAGAAGCGGAGATATGGCTCAAGTGGTAAATCACCAGCTTTGAATTAAAAAAAAAAAAACAAAAAACTAAGGTAGCTGGGTACCAGTGGCTCCCATCTGTAATCCTAGCTAGTCAGGAGGTTGAGATCTAAGGATCTCAGTTCAAAGCCAGTCCAGACAGGAAAGTCCATGAGACTCATCTCCAATTAACCACCAAAAAATGGAAGTGGTACTATGGCTCAAGTGGCAGAGTGCTCGCCTTGAGCTGAAGAGAGTTCAAGCCCATGACCAGCAAAAAAAAAAAAAAAAAAAAACAGGGACTGGGAATGTGGCTTAGTGGTAGAGTGCTTTCCTAGCATGCCGGAAGCCCTGGGCTCAGCACCAAATAAACAGAAAAAGCAGGAAGTGGCACTGTGGCTCCAATGTTAGAGTGCTAGCCTTGAGCAAAAAAGAAGCTCAGGGACAGTGCTCAGGCCCTGAATTCAAGCCCCAGGACTGGCAAGGCAAAAAAACAAAAACAAAAAAAACCAAACCTAAGGTATAGCACATATGACCTGAATTCAAGTCATGTAAAAGGAGGAGGAGGAGGAAGAGAAGCAGCTGCTAGATGAATCAAGCCCTAGGCTTATGCAGTGGTGAAGTGAGGGACTGGGTTAAAATGCCAACTTCTCCAATAGTGATTGAGTACCACCATGGGCAGTTCCCATGTCTGCATTTGGTATGGACTGTGTATCATGTAACCATAATCTCACAGTCACAACTGTACAGTACACCCCATTCCCAATTTATGAAGAGAAAGAGGAGCCTGGACACTGCTGCAGCAGAAACAAGGAATCAGCAAAGCCAAGATTTAAACCCAAGGTTGACCCTTCTTGTCTTTTTTTTTTTTTTTGGTCCAGTGACAGTATTGAAATGAACTCCAGCCTAGGCACTGTCCCCTTAACTTTTTCCATAAAAGGTTAGTTTTTGTTGTTGTTGTTGTTGGTTAATTGGAGATAGACCTTTCATGGACTTTTCTGTCCAGCCTGACTTCAAATTGTGATCCTCAGATCTCAGCCTCCTGAATAACTAGGATTACAGGTATGAGCCACCAGTGCTTAGCTGGTGCATCAGTGCTTACCTGTGCTAACCTGTGCACCATTTTTCTAGACCTATTTTCCTGTCTTTAAAGTTGGACTGAAACAATCATAAAGATTAAATAACCAAGCCAGGCACTGGTGGCTCACGCCTGTAATCCTAGCTACTCAGGAGGCTGAGATCTGAGGATCACGGTTCAAAGCCAGCCGGGGCAGGAAAGACCGTGAGACTCCTATCTCCAATAAACCACCAGAAAACCGGAAGTGGCGCTGTAGCTCAAGTGGTAGAGCGCTCGCCTTGAGCTGAAGAGCTGAGGGACAGCGCCCAGGCCCAGAGTTCAAGCCCCACGACCGACAAAAAAAAAAAGATTAAATAGCCACTTAGCACATAGTGTGGAGCAAAGCCAAGACAGTCTCTTCCCCCTACCTATGCCCATAGCTTGTTCATATAGGGGAGATTTTTCAGTCACCCTCTTCATATCTAAGTGGCCAGCACTCCCTACTCTCAGCCCATTTCCCCATAGCCACACCTGGATGGGCTGTTGAGTGTACGGCTGTCCCTATGCTACTGCCACTTGAGATTGAACTTCCCAGGGACGGTGGGTGCAGGGGAAAGCACTCAAGTAGCACCCTTTAAAAGTGGAATGAGGGGTGTGGTTACCAGATGAACACAGAGATGGGCAGAAGAAAGTAAGAAAGGAAAGCTGGATGAATAGAACAGAGGAAAGATGCATGGATGGATGGAAGGTTGGTTGTATATCTAAAATGTGGAAAGAAAAGAGCTGGTGCTCTGTGCTCTGGTGGCGGGGAGGGAGTGTGGGCGGGGCGTCGGGGCGGAGAAGGGCGGGGCATCGAGGGGCGGGGCGTTTGGGTGAGGCCTGGTTCCGGACTGGGCGGGGTGTCGGGGGCGTGGTCTGAGGCGAGGGGCGGGTCTGGTCCGGGCGGTCCCTTTGCCCGACCCCGCCCGTTCCGGAGGCGGTGCTGCCCTCCGGCCCATTGGGCGCGAGAACTGCGCTGCGCCGGGAGAACGCGGCGCCGCGGGAGCCCAGGCCAGGTGAGCGCAGCCCGGGGATGCGAAGTGGGATGGGCAGGCGGGGCGAGGGAGGACAGGGGTACCAGGCCCTGCCTGCTGGCCGGGCCAAGCGGCCCTAGCGTGGACGGGGGGCATCGCTCTTTCCTGCCAACCTCGAAGGTCTCAGAACCTGCCCATTCTTTCACCAAAGCCCATTATGGGGTCCCCCGTGGATCTGCAATCGAACTCCTGCCTCACGTTCTCTGGGACTCAGTTTCCACCCCTGGGTGATGGGGAACTCGTAGGAGCCTCTGTTTCCCCAGGAAAATGAAATGCAGCCATGGTGGTCAGCCCTTTCCTTGGCCAGAGCACCCGAGTGTGGCTGCACTCCTTCAGCAGCTAGGTGCTGGCCTACTATGTGCCAGGCACTGCTCCGGAGCTGTGACCCCACGAGCAAACCTCTTGTGCCGTCTGCATTCTAGTGATTTGCAAAGTGCCTTGGCATCTCTTCTTTCACAGACAGAGCAGCTGAGGTTATTGGGGCTGTGGGTACTGAAATAACAATGAGGTTCCGGGGATCTTGCTTCAGGGCACACCCAGCAAATGGGGTCCCAAGGCCAGGTTCCAGCCTTTGCCACAAGCAGTTCCTTACATAGGACAACGCTGAGCTGGCACTGGTAGCACGGGCCCTCATCTCAGCTACTCAAGAGGCTGAGATATGGATAAGAATCTCTCAGCAAAATTAAAACAGCAAAATGCTGGACTGGAGGCATGGATCAAGTAGTAGAGCACCAGCTGCTAGCAAGAAGTTATCTGGAAGTGGAATCCTCTACTTTCCATGGCTGACTGGAGGGATATCCTGACCCCATTCAACTTATTAGTGCTTATCACAAGGCAGGGGTAACTGTACTACTCTCCTAGTACTTTGGCAAACAGAGTAGACTAAAAGAGTTCTTAGCCAGGCACCAGTAGCTCATGCCTGTACTCTTGAGCTACTAAGGAGGCTGAGACCTGAGGATCAGAGTGAAGCCAGACTGGGCAGGAAAGTCCTTAAGACCCTTACCTCCAACTAGCCACCAAAAACAAAAACCCAGAAGTGTACCTATGGCTCAAATGGTAGAGCACCAACCTAGAGAGAAAATGCTAAGGGACAGTGCGCTGACTCTGAGTTCAAGCCCCAGTTCTGATACAGAAGAAGAAGGAGTAGGAGAAAGAAAGAAAAAAGAGAGAGGGGAAGAGAATGTTGGAAGGGAGGAAGGAAGGAGAAAGAGAGTTCTTATGGCTGTCAGAGTCGCTGCCCTGTGATCACACCATCAACTATGAAGCTCATCAGTCAGCAATCACTTACAGAATACCTGCCATATCTCACAGCCAATATCAACTGCAGAGCAGAGACTTACTTACCTGTATAAGTAATGCCTGGTGCATAGTAGGCCTGCAAGCAGTGACTGCTTTTATAAGGCTTATGACCTGACCTAAGCCTAGTCAAGTGTCATCTTCAGGTAGAATGATAGGGTTAGGGGTGATCGTGGTGCCAGTGATCAACAGCTTGGCTGAAGCCTGCAGAGGGCTTGGGCTGGCCCTGTGGTGTCAGCCATCTGCTTTCCTGGATGGCCTGTGAGAGAAAGAGGCAGCAGGTGTCAGGGCAGGGCAAGCCCAGACCTTGGAATCAATACAAGTTTCCAGGGTACTGAGCCTTTTAAGATCCTATGTGGATACCTCTCCCCTTCCCCCTCCCTGTCCTCCTCCTCCTCCCTCCCTCCACCTTGGCCTCCCCTTTCTCCTTCATACTAAGCTTTGAACTCTTGTTTGGCTTTTTCATTCAAGGCTAGCACTCTATCACTTGAGCCGCAGCTCCAGGTGGTTCCAAGGTAAGAGTCTCATGGATTTCCCTGCCTTGACTGACTTTGCACTGTGATCCTCAGATCTCAGCTTTCTGAATAGCTAGGGTGACAGTTGTGAGCCACCAGCACCTGGCTTCCTCTCTTCTTCCTGCTTCTCTTCCTCTTCTACTTCCTTTTCCCCTTCTCCAAGAGTCCTCATACCTCCTTGATTAGAAAGTGCCAGTCACTTCCCAGTCTGGTGAGTTTTGCCTGGGCACAATTACAGTCACTTCTGGCTCCTTCTAGGACTATATGGGGTCTGGGGTTGGGAAGTCAGAAATGCACTACAAATCTGTCCTGTGGCGTGACTTTGGGTGCCCATTTTGTGCGATCATCTGGGTTCTTGGGCTCTGAAAGGGATAGGACCCCCTGGGAACTCAAAGGGTCTCTAATTTCTTTTTTCTTCCTCCCCCCCCTTTTTTTTGTGCCAGTCCTAGGGCTTGAACTCAGATCCTGAGCTCTGTTATTGAGCATATTTTTGCTGAAGGCTAGTAGAGAACCACTTGAGCCACAGCTCCCTTTCTGGCTTTTTGGTGGTTCATTGGAACTAAGAAGCTCTTGGACTTTCCTGCCCAGGCTAACTTTGAACTACAATCCTCAGATCTCAGCCACCTGACTAGCTAGGATTACAGGAGTGAGCCACAGTTGTCCAGCAAAGAGTTGCTACTTTCCTCCTCAGTCCCCCTCCATCCTAGGACTCTGATGATCTGTGTGACATGAGATGACTCTGGAATGTTCTCCTTTGCTTTGTCTACAGGTGGACAGCTTCTGGGCTGCATGGCTCTGTAGAGAATGAAGCCCAACCCCACAGGCTCCTCACCACAGCCTTGCATAGCCACGGGCCAGGCGGAGAAGTGCTGTCCTGTCTGCCAGGCTTGGGGAGCGGTTTCAGGCCCAGAGTCTGGTTTAGGGCCGGGGTCAGGGCCTGGTGCTCTTCTGGGAGCTGGGCCAGGACCCAGTTCTCTTCTGGGGTCTGGGCAGGGACCCAGTGCTGTTTTGGGATCTGGCACTGCTCTGGGACCTGAGTCAGGAGCTGCATCAAGTGCTGGGTTGGAAGCTGGGTGGGGATCTAGGTCAGGAGCCAAGGAGGTTGGGTCAAGACCTGGGTCAGGACCTAGGTCAGCACCTGGGCTGGTAGCTGTGTCAGGACTTGCCTTAGGACCTCCAGCAGGAGCTGGCACCAAAGCTGGCTCAGGACTCCTGACAGGAGCGTGGCCGGGGCCTAAGTCAGGAGCTGGGACAGGACCTGAATCAGGAATTGGGCCAGGACTTGGGCCTGGAGCTGAGTCAGGAACTGGGTTGGGACCCCTGTCAGTAGCTGGGACAGGAACTGGGTCAGGACTCCGCCAAGGAGCTGCACCATTACCTCAATCTGGGCCCAAACCCAGTGAATCAGCCGCAGCCACAGCACCAGTACCGCAGCAGAAGACTCCAACCAGCCCTGCACAGAGCCGCAGACAGAAGGTTCTAGTGACAGGTGGAGGAGGCTACCTGGGCTTTAGCCTGGGCTCCACCCTGGCCAAGAGTGGTGCTTCTGTCATCCTTCTTGACCTCCGCAGACCCCAGTGGGAAGTGCCCCCGAGGACCCAGTTCGTCCAGGTGCCAGAATGGAGGGGGGGGGCTGGGAAGGTGGCTCAGTGGTAGAGCGCTTGCCTTGCATGCCTGAGGCCCTGGGTTCGATTCCTTAGTACCATATAAGCAAAAAAAGAAAAAAGCCAGAAGTGGCGCTGTGGCTCAAGTGGTAGAGCGCTAGCCTTGAGCTGAAGAGCTGAGGGACAGCGCCCAGGCCCAGAGTTCAGGCCCCACGACCGACCGAAAAAAAAACAAACCAAAAACAAAAAAACAGAATGGAGGGGGGCGCTGGAGGTGGTGGTTTGGGGGGACAGAATCCAATGTGAAGCCAGTAGTGGAGCCAGCGATGGCTTCTGCTCCAGCTCCTTTACTTCCTGCTTCCCTGAGCCTCAGGGTCCTCATCCACAGAAGAGACAATAATACCTACTTTATACGGGTCTCACTGGGTGTGATAGTGCATGCCTATAACCCTAGCACTCAGGAGACTGAGAGAGAGAAGATCAAGGCCAAGTCAGGGCTACACAATGAGAAGGCTGTGTCTCAAAACCAATAAAAGGGCTAGGCACCAGTGGCTCACACTTATCATCTTCTCTACAGAGGAGACTGGGATCTGAGGGTGGAAGTTTGAAGCCACCTGGCAAGAAAGTCCATGAGACTCTCATCTCCATTTAATCACTAAAAAGCCAGAAGTGGAACTGTGGCTCAAGTGGTAGAGTACCAGCCTGAGTGAAAAAGCTAAGAGACAATGCCTAGGCCCTGAGTTCAAGTCCCAGTACTCACACACACACACACACACACACACACTCACACACACACACACACAGCCTGGGTCCTCCATTCATGGGGACAGCTGACAGGAACAGTGCCCTGTAGGATCCTATAGTAAATCTAACGCATAGATGCTTGATCTGAGCAGGTTAGGGCTGGCTCTGGGGCCAGCCAGACGACCCTTGTGGTATGTCGTCCTTCTGTGTTTCAGGCTGATGTGCGAGATGAAGGAGCCCTGTTCCGGGCCTTCGAGGGGGTGGACTGTGTCTTCCACGTGGCTTCCTATGGGATGTCCGGTGCTGAGAAGGTGAGAGCCTCCCATTCCTACCTGGATTAATCGCTGTGGTTCCACCCACCACAACCCTGGGGCGCATGGATTCTTCATGGCTCTTCACCTCCTCCAGGGAGGATTTAGATACCATAGACCAGCTCTGCTGCTTTTTTGCTGTGTGACCCAGGGCCTGATAACTTAACCTCTCTGAGCTGGAGAGTGAGGTCATTACTAATATATCACATCCTCTTCAGGCTGTGACAGTATCTTTCAAAGTGTGTGTGTGTGTGTGTGTGTGTGTGTGTGTGTGTGTGTGTGTGTGTGTGTGTCTAACTCCAAGATTGCAGGGTTTTTGTTTGTTCGTTTTGGGTTGGTTGTGGGACTTGAACTCTGGGCCTGGGCATGGTCCCTGAGCTCTGCAGCTCAAGGCTAGTGCTCTACTACTTGAGCCACAGCACCACTTTCCATTTTCTGGTGGTTTATTGGAGATAAGAGTCTCATAGACATGGGCTGGGAAGGTGGCTCAGTGGTAGAGCGCTTGCCTTGCATGCCTGAGGCCCTGAGTTCAATTCCTCAGCACCACATAAGCAAAAAGAAAAAAGCCGGAAGTGGCGCTGTGGCTCAAGTGGTAGAGCGCTGGCCTTGAGCTGAAGAGCTGAGGGACAGCACCCAGGCCCAGAGTTCAGGCCCCACGACCGGACCAAAAAAAAAAAAAAAAAGAGTCTCATAGACTTTCCTGACCAGGCTGGCTTTGAACCGCTATCCTCAGCCTCCTGAGTAGCCACCGCCTGGCTCTTATTTTTATATTTACCGTATTTTCAGTTTTGTTTTTAACTAACAAGACCCAGGAGTGGGTGCCAGTGGCTCATGTCTGTAATCCTAGCTCTTCAAGAGGCTGAGATCTGAGGATCACAGTTCAAAGCCAGCCTGGGAAGGCAAGACTATGAGCTCCTATCTCCAATTAACCATCAAAAAAAAAAAAACAGAAGTAGAGCTGTAGCTCAAAGTGGTAGAGCACTAGCCTTGAGCATAAAAGCTCAGGGACAGCGCCCAGGTCCTAGGTTCAAACTCCATGAAGGACAAAGCCAGCCCGGGCAGGAAAGTCCGTGAGACTCCTAGGTCTAATTTAACCAGCAAAAAGCCAGAACTGTAGTTGTGGCTCAAGTTGTGGCGTGCCAGCCTAGAGTGAAAAAGCTAAGGGACAGTGCTCAGGCCCTACCTTTAAGTCTTAGTACTCTCCCCCCACACCAAAAAAAAGAAGTCTGTTGACATCCAAGGGGTCAGCTCTGCTTTATAGAGGGACCCGAGGGCCAGGCAGGGTTGGAGTCTCCACCGTTGCCCAAGGAGCTGAGGACAGAGCTGGGTACCCATGCTACCTGAGGGTCTCTTGGATTTCTACCTCTGAGTTGGATGCTCTTCCATCTTCTGCCCGGCAATACCATGACTTCCCACCCTCATCTTCTCTTTTAGCTACAAAAAGAGCAGATTGAGTCTATAAATGTTGGAGGCACCAAACTAGTGATCAATGGTAGGAGCTCAGAGTGGAGTGTGGCCGTGTGTTTTCTCTCGTCCCTTCTGCCACAGGCCCAGCTCCTGGGGGTGGGGGCAGGGCTGGAGCATAAAAGGGGGACCCTCTGGGCCTACCCCTTCCTACCCCAGCTGAAGGCCTGTGGCAGTGCGCCTTTTCCTGTGTGCAGTCCTGTTCAGGGCTTCAACAACCTCAGTGTGTCTGGAAACAGGGGACTCTGAACTGAGGTTGAGGACAATAGGAAAAATCCCCAGAGCACCTAATACAAGACGCATGTTGGGCCCTCTGACTATACCCAGCCTTTTCTGGCATCCATTTTTCTCTGATTCTAGAATGTCTTTTTTTTTTTTTTCCTTTTGTCTTCATGGAATGAGACTTTCTCTGATCCGTTCTTCACAGGTTAGTTCAAGACCAAGGCCACACTGGGAGGAAAATGAGCAGGACTGCTCCCCTTCCCCACCAGAGACTGAACTTACACCCCCAAGTTAAAAGGAAAAGGCTGCCAGGCTTCAGTGGCACACACCTATAATCCTAGGATTATATCCTCAGGAGGCTGAGATCTGAGGATCACAGTTCAAAGCCAGGGCCAGCAGGAAAGGTCCAGGAGATTCTTTATCTCCAATGAACTCTCAAAAAAACCAGAAATGGAGCTGTGGCTCATGTGGTAGAGTACTAACTTTGAACATAAAAGCTAAGAGTCAGTGCCTAGGCTCTGAGTTCAAGCCCCAGGAGTGGCACAAAATATAAAAGGAGGTGGCTTTTCTAGCCTGAGCAGCAATACTTTCTGGGAGGACCCAGCATTTGGGGAAGAGTGTTTGAGGGGAAGAGTGTTGCAGATCATGGAATCGCCCAAGGAGGTCCCTATGAGCCCCATCCTCAGTGACACTTGCTCTGCCTCTGTGTGTGTGTGTGTGTGTGTGTGTGTGTGTGCACGCGCATGTGCGCACGTACTTGTCTCTGCAGTCTGTGTCCGTCGGAGGGTTCAGAGGCTCGTCTACACCAGCACTGTGAATGTGGCATTCGGAGGGAAGCGCATCGAGGAGGGTGATGAGGACTCTGTGCCATACTTCCCACTGGACAAGGTACCTGGTTTTCAGAAGAGGTGGGTGGAGCTGGTGGGTGGGGCTCCAGTGGAAGTCAGCGTGCATCACAGCAAGAACATTCCCTAGCTGGGTGGCAGAAACCACTCCTATTTCAGCTCACCATGCCTGTAGGGGCCTCTGATCTTTCTTCTTCTTTTGTTAGTTTTCTGTGTGCCAATCCTGGGGCTTGAACTCAGAATCTGGGCACTGTCCCTGAGCTTTTTTTATGCTCAAGGCTAGCAATTAAGTCACAGCTTCACTTCTGGCTTTGGGGTGTGTGTGTGTGTGTGTGTGTGTGTGTGTGTGTGTGTGTGTGTGTGTGTGTGTGTGTGTGTGATTGGAGATAAGAGTCTCACAGATTTTCCTGTCCAGTCTGGCTTTGAACCACAATCCTCAGATCTCAGCCTTCTGAATAGCTAGGATTATGAGCACCTGGCTCCACAGGAGACTTTGAAATCAGACAGACCTGGCCTTGAGTCCCAGCCTGGCCTTTTTCTACCTGTGACTCTGCTCAAGTCCTTCCATACTCAGAGCTCCTGTGTCTTCCTGGTGTGTGATAGGTAGAGGTAGCTGTGGAGAAGAAGGTGAGATCGCGGATGTAACGCCTCGAGAAGCTCCTCCAATGCATGTGCGCAGGGTCATCTTAATGTTCTCAAACTAGCGACCCTCTGCCCCTGTGAGTCTAGAAGGTGACCCTGCCTACCCCCAGGGGAGAGCCGGGGCAGTAGCATTCAGGACTTGGCCATAGCCAGGTTTTTGGTAGCTTCTACCTATGCTATTAGCTATTCAGGAGGCTGAGATTTGAAAACCACTGTTTGAAGCCAGCCAGTGCAGAAAACTCCAAGAGACTCTTATCTCTATCACACACACAAAAAAGCCAGAATTGGGGCTATGTATGGCTCAAGTGGTAGGACACTAGTCTTGAGCAAAAGAAGCTCAGGGACAGTACCCAGACCCCCAAGTTCAAGCCCCAGGACCAACATGGTAGCCAACATCCCAGCAGGATTTCCCAGAATCCAAAGGGAAGAGAGTCCTGGGCCTGGATGGGCAGGCAGCAGCACTGACCCCTGTGGGGGGGGGCTCTGTTCTCTGGCAGCACACGGACCACTACTCCCGAACCAAAGCCATTGCCGACCAGCTGACTCTCCTGGCCAATGGGACCCCTCTCCCAGGTGAGTAAGATCACCACATGGGCTGCCACCTCCCCAAAGTATATGCATTATTGTGGCTTTCAGGAGACATACACCTGAGGCCCAACGCCCTTCCTCGGGACAGCTCCCTAGGGCCTGGCCTTCTGCCATTCAAAGTATTCTGAACCCATGCTCTGGGCCTCACCTGGGCAAATCATGATGAACCCTCACTGCTCATGCTCTGTCTGCTGAGGGGAAGATGTGGTCTCACCCAGGGCTAGCTCCTTTCTTCTTATCAATGTGGATCCAGTTTTAGGAGCCCGTGTGTGTGTGTGTGTGTGTGTGTGTGTGTGTGTGTGTGTGTGTGTGTGTGTGTGTGTGTGTGTGTGTGTGTGTGTGTGTGCGCGCACACGCACATGCACATACACTATTACTTGGCTTGAACTCAGGGCCTAAACTCTGTCCCTTAGCTTTTTCACTTAAGGTTGGTGCTTTACCACTTCAGCTACTGCTCCACTTCTGGCTTTTTGGTGGTTAATTAGAGATAAGAGTCTCACAGACTTTTCGGACTGGGCTGCCTTTGAACCATGATCCTCAGACCTCAGCCTCTTGAGTAACTAGGATTATAAGCCTGAGCCAACCGCATGTAGCTAAGAGCCTTCTAGATGAAAGAGTACAGCAGGATGAATATGGAATGAGCTGTAACCTGGACTTCCCAGCTGCATTATCTCTTCTGGTTATAGAGATATGATAATAGAATATGAACAGTCCATATTTATTGAGTGCTTACTACAGGTTGATTTCTGCACAGTTATTTTACTTATTTACTTGCTTATTGTTTGTGTGTGTGTTTGCCTGTGCACACGTGTGTGCATCTGTACTGGGATTTGAACCCAGGGCCTGATGCCCTCACTTGCCCTTTTCCCTCAAGGCTAGTACTCGATCATTTGAGCCAAACCTCCTCTTCCAGCTTTTTGCTGGTTAATTGGAGATTTAAAAAAAAAAATCTCAGGTTTATCTACACATGCTGGTTTTGAACTGCAATCCTCAGATCTCAACCTCCTGAGTAGTTAGGATCACAGGCATGAGCCACTGGTGCCTGGTTTTGTCCAATAATTTTATATGCAAAGGGTTCATGCACTGCTCAGAGCATCCTGGAAGGTGAGCATCTTAGGTGTTCTTGGCTTTTCAAAATCAGGTGCCAGATCCATCTAAGTAAATTCCTTGCCATCCAAATTATTACCGTTGACTTTCTGCAATGCAAAAACAAAGGAAGCAGGCAGCTTGACTCCTTTTAATGATCGATACTATCTAAACATGAGGGCCAGGTAGATTTGAAGAGTGAAAGATGCTTGAAATTAAAATCCCCATCCCAAAGGTGGTGGCTCTTTCCTATTATCCTACTTATCCAAGAAGCTGATCCTGAAGCCAGCCCAGACGAATCTGTGAGATTCATCTCTAACCAGCAGAAAGCCAGAAGTTGAGGTATAGCTCAAGTGACAGAGTACCAGCCTTGAGTAAAAAAGCTAAGAAGGGACAGTGTTCAGGCCCTGAGTTCAAGTCCAATGACCGGCAAAAAAAAAAAAAAGAAAGAAAGAAAGCCAAGCCAGGTGCCAGTGGCTCACATCTGTAATCCTAGCTACTCAGGAGGCTGAGATCCAAAGATGGTGGTTCAAAGCCAACCCAGGCAGGAAAGTCCATGAGATTCTTTTTTTTTTTTTTTTTGGTTGGTTGTGGGGCTTGAACTCTGGGCTTGGGCGCTGTCCCTGCGCTCTTCAGCTCAAGGTAAGTGCTCTACCACTTAAGCCACAGCGCCACTTCCAGTTTTCTAGTGGTTTATTGGAGATAAGAGTCTCAGACTTTACTGCTTGGGCTGGCTTTGAACCATGATCCTCAGATCTCAGCCTCCTGAGTAGCAAGAATTACAGTCAAGAGCCACCAGTGCCCGGCTTAGTCCATGAGATTCTTATCTCCAATAAGCCACCAGAAAACTAGAAGTGGCACTGTGGTTCAAGTGGTAGAGCACCAGTCTTGAGCTGAAGAGCTGAGGACAGTGCCCAGGCCCAGAGTTCAAGCCCCATGACTGACAAAAAAGAAAAATAAAACAGAAGTGAAGCTGTGGCTCAAGTGGTTAAGTGCTGATCTTGAGCAAAAATACCAAGAGAGAGCTTGAGGCCCTGAGTTCAAGCCCCAGTACTGGGAGAAAAGAAAAGAAGGAAAAAACAGGGAGGGATGGCGGAAGGGAGAGAGAAGGAAGGAAGAAAGGAAAGAGGAAAGGGAAGAAGGAAGGAAGGAAGGAAGGGAAGGAGGGAGGGAGGGAGGGAGGGAAGGAAAGAGAGAGAGAGAGAGAACCAGGCTACTAGTAGTACATACCTATAATCCTAGCTACTCAGGAGGCTGAGATTTGAGGATCAAGGTTCAGAGCCAGCCCAGGTAGGAAAGTCCATGAGACTCTTATCTCCAAGTAACCACTAGAAAACCAGAAGTGGAGCTGTGACTCGTGGTAGAACGCTAGCCTTGAGCACGGAAGCCTGAGTTCAAGCCTCACAATTGATTAAAAAAAAAAAAAAAAAAAAAAGGAAGGAAAGAGGGAAGGAAGGAAGGAAGGGAGGGAGGGAGGGAGGGAAGGTTGATTCTAATCCTCAGCTTACAGGTGACAAAAACAGACTGATTAGCTTCATTCAAGATCACACAGGATCACACAGTTCTGAGGTGGTAGAGGTAGGATTTGAACCCCAGGGCAATGTTACCCCCAGAACCTAGGGCCTAACTCCCTAGACAGAAGCTCTTCCCTAAAATGTCTGCACCTCCACACCCTGGGCTGCCAGGCCTTCGCACCTGGTCTCGGCAGGAACATCCAGCTGTGTCTTCCATGGGACTTGACCCAGTGCCGTTGGATTCCCTTCTCTCCTGGGGCATCCCTGGCCAGGTCAGACCACAGCTGGCATGCTGGACACCTAATCCTCTGGCCGAGAATTATTCATGTGACCATCCCCAGCTTTCCATAGTCCAGAGAGTCACAGATACCCTGGGCTGGCCCCTCGGTTGTGTGGCTGCCTGGTGCCCCACTGGCCATTGTCAACTGTCATCTGACCTCCTTCCACCATGCCCTGGGGACCCAGAGTTTAAACTTAGCTGAGACTGTTTACAGAAAAGCGCACCTGACACCTGCCTCCAAGGAGTCCCGCCATGGTCAGCCAGGGTGACTTCCACTCCCTCAACCTTCCTCCTCCCTTAGCAGCGAGCGCTCTTGTGCAGGTAGCACGTCCTTAGATATGCATACTTGTATGCCCCAGCTCACTGTCGGTGGGGTGCGGCCTCTTGTCTCTTCGGGCTTGAACTGAGGGCCTAAGTGCTGTCCTTGAGCTTTTGTGCTCAAAGCAGTGCTCTGCTACTTGAGCCACAGCTCTATTTTCAGCTTTCTAGTGATTCACTGGATATAAGAGTCTCATGAACTTTCCTGCCCAGGCTGGCTTTGAACTGTGGTCCTTAGATCTCAGTCTTCTGAGTAGCTAGGATTACAGGCGTGAGCCACTGGTGCCCAGCTTTTGTTTGTACTTTTCATCTCTCTCCCAAGCCCTATTCTGTCTCCTTCTCTGTGTGTGTGTGTGTGTATGTGTGTGTGTGTGTGAGAGAGAGAGAGAGAGAATGTGTGTGTGAGCATGTGTGCACGTGCGTATGTATATGCATGTACTGGTCCTGAGGTTTGAACTCAGCTCTTGTGTACTGTTTCTGAGCTTTTTTGCTCAAAATTAGCGCTCTACCACTTGAGCCACAGCACCACTTCCAGCTTTTTTTGGTGGTTAACTGAAATAAAGTTTCCAGACTTTACTGCCTGGGCTGGCTTTGAACCTCAATTGTAGCCAAGTAGCTAGGATTACAGGCATGAGCCACCACCAGCTCCCTCTGCTTTTACTAATTCAAATCTTCTTCTCCATTCTCATTTTGAGACAGCTATGGATAACAAAAGAAAAGCCATTAGCCCAGGCTGGCTTCAAACCTGGATCCTCAAATCCTAGCCTAATGAGTAAAGAAGATTACAGGCATGAGCCCTTGGGCCCCACCGTAGACGTAGACGTATCTTTTTGAAGATTGTCACGTTACCGTTTGCCCTGGGCCTTGTTGTAAAGTGAAGTTGTCTTAGTATGTATTCTGTTATGATGCAGAGACATTGGCCCTGGCTCACTGGAGGGGAAATGAGTCCCCTTGGAGGGATGTGGCAGAGGGTTTTGAAAATGGATTTCTAGAAAAGTAACTGCCAGGCTTGGAAAAGACAAGAGGCAGCCCTTGAGAACTAGGTGGCAGAATAATGACCCGTGTCCTTAGGGCCGGTCTCACCTAAGATGGGTCATCTTCGTATCATTGATATTGACAGCTACTCTTGGGCTACCCCCATTTAAGCAGACAGTCCCTTCCCCCAAAGCCTCTGCAAAGGGGAGAGGTTTCCAAAGGAAGATGAGCTGCTAGTGGCACTGGGCTTCCCATTCCAGAGAAAGGACCCCTGGTCTACACTGGGCCTGCTGCTTCTTCTCCCTGCCAGGCTGCTGCTCTGTAGGTTGCTAACTGCCTTCCCTGTGTCCTAGGAGGAGGGTCTCTCCGGACATGTGTGCTGCGGCCCCCAGGGATTTATGGGCCTGAAGAGCAGAGGCACCTGCCCCGAGTGGCTGTATGTTACCCCAGTCTTCTGGAACAAAGGTGGAGGGAGGTTGATATGCATGCTTCCCAGCCCCTCTCAGCTCAGAGTTACCAGCCTGGAGGCAGAGAATCCCTGTCTGGGACCCTCAGTTCTTGGAAATATCCCCTACCCATCCACCCCCATCTCCCAGCAGTCATATCCCTCAATGCTACCAGGAGTGAGTAGTGCTCTCTTTGCCAAGACTAAACTCAATTTGGGGAAACAAGGAGCTGGAAATCTGGCGGACTTATGTGGGCTCCCTGAGGGTTGAATGGATCATCTTATAGTGCCATGCAAGGGTCTTCAGGTTGAAAAACCTCTGTAGCAAGATGATGGTAGCTCATGCCTATAATCCTAGCTACTCCAGAAGCTGAGATCCAAGGATCACAGTTTGAAGCCATCCCAGGCAGGAAAGTTCATGAGACTCTTTTTTTTTTTAATTTGTTTTTTTGGGGGTCCGGTTGTGGGGCTTGAACTCTGGGCCTGGGCGCTGTCCCTCAGCTCTTCAGCTCAAGGCTAGCGCTCTACCACTTGAGCCACAGTGCCACTTCTGGCTTTTTTTCTTTTTGCTTATGTGGTGCTGAGGAATCGAACCCAGGGTCTCATGCATGCAAGGCAAGCGCTCTACCACTGAGCCACCTTCCCAGTCCTCATGAGACTCTTATATCCAATTAAAAATACCAAAAAGCTACAAGTAAAGCTCAAGTAGTAGAGCACTAGCCTTGAGCAAGAACAGCTCAAGGACAGTACACACACACACACACACACACACACACACACACTACCTCCCTCTAGAAAAAGCTAGGGTTAGGAATGTGGTGACAGGAGACTCTGGACCTGTCCTCATTAGCTTAGAACATGAGCCAATGGACCTGGCAGGACAGACGGGCTTCCTAGAGGAAGTGATGCCTATACGATTCAGGAGAAAGGGGAAACCCATCAAGAAACTGGAGTAGAGAGAAAGAAGGCTAAATAGAGGCGGCAGCTTGGGCACAAACCTAGGAATGAGAAAGGTCATGGTCAGGGTAGGAAGTAGCAAAACTTCCTGATTCTGGATCTGATTTGGGAGGACAAGGTCAAAGGGAGGTATGGAACGTTATTCCTTTGCAGGGATCTTAGGCCTGTTTGTTTGTTTGCTTGTTTTTCCTGGGGCTTGAATTCAGGGCCTGGATACTGTCCCTTAGCTTTTGCACTCAAAGCTGGTGTTCTACCACTTGAGCCAAAGCACCATTTCTCCATTTCCAGCTTTTTGGTAATTAATTGTAGACAATAGTCTCATGGACTTTCCTGCCCAGACTGAATTCAAACAGGGATCCTCAGATCTCAGCCTTCTGAGTAACTAGGATTGCAGGCATGAGCACTAGTACCTGGCCATTATGTCTATTTTCTTTTGTTTACATTGACTGGATTCTTGAGAGTTGTATTAGTTACTTTGCTGTCTAGTGTGGCAAAATACCAGACATAAAGCAAGGAAGAAGCTATTTACTTTGTTCAGTTTCAGAGGTTTCAGTCCATCAAGGTGGGGAGGGCCTGGTGGGACAGAACTGTTGAGTTTATGGCAGCTAGGAAACAGATGGAATGGTCTCTCTCATGGTGGACAGGAAGCAGAGCCAGGAGGAGCACCCAAGGACCCACCACTCAGACTGCTTCCCCCAGCCAAGGAGAAGGTTCCTCCGCCTTCCCAATAATCTATGTAAAATTTGAATGGGTTAATGGACTAAAGTATTAAATCAGAGCCCTCAGGCTCTCCACATCCCTAGAAACACCCTTACAGACACATCTTGCTATGTTCTACCAGTCTCCTAGGTGTCTCTGAACTCCATCTTGTAGACAATCTAGACTTGCCATCACAAGGGCAACTCCAGTGAGACCCCCTACTTATTTGTTCAGCCAACAAATACTTAACTAGACCTACTATATTCCAGATTTTGAGATAAATTGTTAGACAATGCAGACAATTCTGGTCTTTGTGTTTCTTTTCTTCCTTAAGGACACAGCCAGCCAGGCGCTGGTGGCTCACGCCTGTAATCCTAGCTACTCAGGAGGCTGAGATCTGAGGATCACAGTTCAAAGCCAGCCCGGGCAGGAGAGACCGTGAGACTCCTATCTCCAATAAACCACCAGAAAACCGGAAGTGGCGCTGTAGCTCAAGTGGTAGAGCGCTTGCCTTGAGCTGAAGAGCTGAGGGACAGCGCCCAGGCCCAGAGTTCAAGCCCCACGACCGACAAAAAAAAAAAAAAAAAAGGACACAGCCAGGTGGTTCATGCCTGTAACCTTAGCTCCTCAGGAAGCTGAGATCTGAGGATCAGAGTTAGAAGCCAGCCTGGGCAGAAAAATCCACTAGAAATATCTCCAGTTAGCCAGAAAAAAAGAAGCTGAAAGTGGAGACATGGCTCAAGGAGTAGAGCACCAGTCTTTTTTTTTTTTTGGTCGGTCGTGGGGCTTGAACTCTGGGCCTGGGCGCTGTCCCTCAGCTCTTCAGCTCAAGGCAAGCGCTCTACCACTTGAGCTACAGCGCCACTTCCGGTTTTCTGGTGGTTTATTGGAGATAGGAGTCTCGCAGTCTCTCCTGCCCGGGTTGGCTTTGAACCACGATCCTCAGATCTCAGCCTCCTGAGTAGCTAGGATTACAGGCGTGAGCCACCAGCGCCCGGCTTAGAGCACCAGTCTTGAGTGAAAAAGCCAAGAGGGAGCATGAGGCCTTGAGTTCAAGTCCCAGTATAGGCACACCAAAAATGAATAAATACAGTAGAATTGCTCGATTTTAAGTGCTAAAGCACTGTGGAGGGAAAAAAGTAGAGTGAGAGAATTGGGCTTGCTGAGACTGAGGAAAACCCCATGGAGAAGGTGACATTGTGAACACCAAAGCAGGAGGTGGACATGCTTGTCACTGGGTGCTTGGAAGAAGACCCAGGCAGGAGGCGGCTCTTTCAAAGCCACAGCAAGGTGTCCACGTGATCATGGCAGAGCCTATAAGATGTGTCAGAGCCAGAGCACAGATCAGAACAGGCTTCTTGGCCAGTTAGAACTTCAGCTTTAACCCAACAGCAGTGGCTCACACCTGTAATCCTAGCTACTCAGGAGGCTAAGATCTGAGGATCACAGTTTCAAGCCAACACAGGCAGGGAAGTCCAGGCGACTGTTATCTGCAATTAACCAGCAAAAAAGCCAGAAGTGGCTCAAGTCTGTGGTAGAGTGCTAGCTTTTGGCAGAAAAGTTCAGGGACAGTGCTCAGGCCCTGAGTTCAAGCCCCCAGGACCAGCAAAGAGGAAGAGCAGGAAGGGGGTGGGGAAGAGGAGGAAGAAGAGGAAGAACTGCTTTCAACATGTCAGCATGGACATTTTTGGAAAGTTCTGGGCCAGAACACACACACACACACACACACACTCAGAACGGAAGCGAGGGTGGGGGGATCTTTCTGGTTGTGCAGAGATCTGACTGCAGGGGTTGGGGTGGAGGAATGGAAAGAAAAGAAGGCTGCTGGGGGTCCAGGTAAGGGGTGAGGGTAGCCTCTGGGGGCCGCAGAAGAGGGGGATCTGATGGGTGCAGACAGGTTTGAAGAGCGAGGCCAGTATGTGGGAGGGAGGGCTGGAGAGGGACTCCCAAGTTGGCCCTGTGTCACCTGTTAGTCTGCATGAGCACAGGACCTGTCCTGGACTGGGCACAGAGGATGTGGGAGCATGTAGGTGAGGCGGAAAGCCACCAAGCTCAAGCGCACCTTTGTCACCACTGCCCCCCACCAGAGCCACATCAGGAGGCGGCTGTTCATGTTCCGGTTTGGGGACCGCAAGACCAGGATGAACTGGGTCCACGTGCACAATCTGGTGCAGGCGCATGTGCTGGCGGCCGAGGCCCTCACCGCCTCCAAGGGCTACGTGGCCGTGAGTGTCCAGGGGTGCCCCATGGGGTGCAGGCAGGGGCTCTGTCCCTGAGGAAGACCCAGTGGTGCTGGGGTGAGGGGTGGCATCCTCAGAGGCCATCATTGGCTCTTCACACCGACTCAAAGTAACAGCCACCAAGTGCTAACGCTTTGCATTTAATCCTCCTAAAGCCCAACAGGGAGGTTCTGTTAGTATCCTCCCATTGCTCAGATGAAGAAACTGAGGACAAGCACCTGGGGGACTCACACCTGTAACCCTAGCTACTCAAGAGGCTGAGATCTAAGGTTTAAGGTTTGAAGCCAGCCTAGGCATGGGTGTCTGAGACTCTTATTTCCAATTAACCAGAAAAAAAGCCAGAAGTGGAGGTGCAGCTCGAGTGGCCAAACACCAGTCTTTAGTGAAAAGTTAAAGGACAGCACTTAGACCGTGAGTTCAAGCCCCAGTATTAACACACACACACACACACACACACACACACACACACACACAGAGCTGCGTGACAGTGACTCAAGCCTGTAATCCTAGCTACTCAGGAGGCTAAGATCTGAGGCTCAAGGTTCAAAGCCAGCCTAAGCAGGAAAGTCCATGAGACTCTTATCTCCAATAAACCACACACACACACAGAGTACAAGAAGTAGAGCTGTGACTCAAGTCATAGATTGCTAACCTTGAGCACAAAAGCTCAGGAACAGCTCTGAGGCCCAGAGTTCAAGCCCTAGGACCAGCAAAACAAAAACAAAAAACACCACCACCTGAAGCCTGGCGTGGTTGAGAGTTGAGTGACTCAGGCTGCACAGCTGGTCAGTGTGGCAGCCCCAGAATGCAAAGGGAATATAGCCCAGGTGTTTCCCCAGGCCTGAGTCCTGCCCAAGAGAATGAGGTTTAAAGCAGCTTCTGGAAGCCATCTGCAAGAATGGGATGGGAATGGTGAGCAGATCCCCAACTCCAACTCCACCCTTCCCTGTGTCTCCCTCAGAGCGGGCAGGCGTACTACATCAACGACGGGGAGAGTGTCAACGTCTTTGAGTGGATGGCCCCCCTGGTAGGTGTTCAGGCACCCCTCCCTGCGTGAGAACCCCCATCCCGTCTCCTCTTCCTCTCCTACTGCCAAAACTCAAAGGATTTCACACTGTACCCCAGCTGTGGCCAGAGTCACTGAGCTCTGGTTGCCCCAAACTTCCCTTGATTGCTAGCTTGTGGGCTTTCCTAGTGGTGCTAGGGGCTTGCTCCTGTCATCTTAGCTATTCAGGAGGCTGAGCTGGGAAGAACAGTTTCAAGCCAGCCTAAGCAGACAAGTCCATGAGACTCTTATCTCCAGTTGACCAGCAAAAAGCCGTATGGGATGTGTGGCTCAAGCCTTGAGCACCAGGGTCTCTGTTTCTGAGCTACTATGAAGAGTACCACAAGGAGAGTTCACATACACATTTTTGGTGTGGATATGTCCTTTTATTTCTCTTGAGTATACACTTGTGAGTGGAATTACTCGGTTATAGGAACCATGTTTAATCCTGTCTTGGAGGACGATATTAGACTGTTTTTCTGAAACAGCTATGCCGTTCTGTATCTCCCCAGCTCCAATTTCTCCACGTACGGCCAGCCCTTGCTAGGATCTGTCTTTTTGATCAGGAGAGTTTTTTGTGCAAGTGGAAAAATTCTATTGACTCAGTGCCAGCCTGTCTCTTCAAGCATCTCCTCCTACCTTCCACACACTTCTGGTTGTTTGGACAGCAGAAGTCCATTCTAGTAAAGCTCCCAATTCTACTTAAGTGCCAGGGAACTTCATTATATGTAAGCAGCTGGAATTAATAACTAAGGGATTTGAAGATCCCAGGTTATATTTCCTCCTTCTCCCTCCCCTACCATTCAATTCCTGCTTGAGTTGTTCTGACCACGGAGTAACTTTCGTTTTAAGATTGGCTCAGGTGTAGGGATGTCTTGGGGTCTGCCATTGTGAGCTATGGGAAGAGGGGGGTGGATCTCTGCTGGTTCCAAGTAGAGGGAATAGGTGGTCTTTTCATACAGGCCCTAGAACAATTTTTTTTCTTTCTGGGGGGGAGGGGACAATCCTGGGGTTTGAACTCAGGGCCTGGGCCTGAGCTTCTTTTGCTCAAAGCTAACACTCCACCACTTTAAGCCACAGCTCCACTTTTGGTTTTCTGGTGGTTAATTGGAGATAAGAGTCTCATGGACTTTCCTGACAAGGCTGACTTTTGAACCATGATCCTCAGATCTCAGCCTCTTTAATAGCTAAGATTACAGGTGTGAGCCACCGGTACCAGGCTTGGAACAACCTATTCTTATCTCAGACCATGTTCCTTTGGCAGTTTGAGAAGCTAGGATACAGCCAACCCTGGATCCAGGTACCTACATCCTGGGTTTACCTGACAGGTAAGGCTGTGTGTATTAAAGCCTTCCATGCACCAGGGGTGTGTGTGTGTGTGTGTGTGTGTGTGTGTGTGTGTGTGTGTGTGTGTGTGTGCACATTTTACCTTGCTTGAAACTCAGGGCCTGGACTAGAATGAGACAAAACCTATACCCAGCCCACTGGATGTGCATAAGCAATTGTTGCTAAATTTATCACCCATGGCAGACGGTATAGCTCAAGGTGGAGCACCTACCTAGCATGTAAAAGGCCTTGGCTAGATCCTGTGTATAGAAGCCAAAGTCATTATCACCATAGCCCCTCATGCCCTTCGATAGTGTCTGCCCCACTTAAATCCTAGTGTGCTTGCATGGTTCCTGTGATTGAGTCCTCCCTAAAGATGAGGAGATTGGGACTTCTGAGAGGTCAGTGTCTGGGGTGTTCAGTGAGAACTGAGAGCAAGAGCATCCCCCCCCCCCCCTTCCAAGTCCATTGCAAGTTAGGACCACTTTGGAAGACTCCATTTGAGTCCTCACCCTCAGATCAGACTTTCCTTCTACCTCCACCCCAACAGCTGCCCTGTGTTCTTCTAGCACCCCGCTGCTGGTACCCTCAAATCACCACAAAGGGCTGCGTTCTTGCTGCACCTTTTTTTAGGTGCTTGCCACTGAAAACAAGTGTTTTTCCTTTCTCTCCTTCCTTCCTTCCTTCCTTCCTTCCTTCCTTCCTTCCTTCCTTCCTTCCTTCCTTCCTTCCGTCCTTCCTTCCTTCCTTCCTTCCGTCCTTCCTTTCCTTTCGTGCCTTTACTGGGGCTTGAATGCAGGGTCTGGGCGCTGTCCCTTCGCCTTTTTGCTAAAGGCTGGCACTCTACCAGTGGTAGAGTGGTTAGAAATAAGTCTGGGGCTGGGAATGTAGCCTAGTGGTAGAGTGCTTGCCTAGCATACATGAAGCCCTGAGTTGGATTCCTCAGTACCACATAAACAGAAAAGGCTGGAAGTGGCGCTGTGGCTCAAGTGGTAGAGTTCAAGCCCCAGGACTGGCACAAAAAAAAAGGGGGGGGAGGAGGAGGAGGAAGAGGAGGACAATGATAATAAGTAGTCCTGTGAACTTTCCTGCTTGGACTGGCTTCCAACCTCGGTCCTCAGGCCTCAGCCTCCTGAGAAGCTACCTTACAGGTTTGTGCTTGGCTAGCAGTTTTTTGTTGTTGTTTTGTCTGTCGTGGGGCCTGAACTCTGGGCCTGGGTGCTGTCCCTCAGCTCTTCAGCTCAAGGCTAGCGCTCTATCACTTGAGCCACAGTACTGCTTGCGGCTTTTTCTGCTTATGTGGTGCTGAGGAATCGAACCCAGGGCTTCATGCATGCAAGGCAAGCGCTCTACCACTGAGCCACCTTCCCAGCCCCAGCAGTTTGTTTAAGTAGCTCAGGGCTTCAAGCGCGGGGTGAGGAGTTCCAATCTCTCTCCTACCCAAGACTGCGGTGGGGAGGAGGAGAGGAAGGAAGGACCGGAGTGGGGTCGACTAAGAAAAGGGACCAAAGAGAACTTTGTATAGTCTCCGGTTTCTTCAAACCCTTCCAGTCAGTCAGTATGATTGGAATAAGAAGCGATGTGGCGCATCTCCCAGCTAACAAGGCACACCTGCGGTGTAGAGGCATTTATGACTTTTGCAAAGGAAACGCCACGCCAGTAAAGCAAATGATTTGTAGCTTAGGAGCGCCCTAAGGTTTGCCAGCTAGGCCCGCCCCGCGCCCGCTTCCTTCCCGCCCCTCCCTCCCCTCACTGACTCCCCTCCCTCCTTGCGGCCCTGGCCACACCCCTCCAAGGCCACGCCCTCCCCTCACTGGCTCCCCTCCCTCCTGACGGCCCTGGCCACGCCCCTCGCCGCCCCTGCCCCTCCCCTCACTGGCTCCCCTCTCTCCTGGCGGCCCTGGCCACGCCCCTCCCCTCGCCGGCCACGCCCTCCCCTCACTGGCTCCCCTCCCTCCTGGCGGCCCTGGCCACGCCCCTCCCCGGCCACGCCCTCCCCTCGCTGGCTCCCCTCCCTCCTTGCGGCCCTGGCCACACCCCTCCCCGGCCACGCCCCTCCCCTCACTGGCTTCCTTCCCTCATCGCGGCCCCGCCCACCATCCCCCCCTCCCCTCCCTCCGTTCCTCACCCGCCCTTTTCTCCACTCGCTGCCCCCACCCCTCGATGGCTCCTTCCCCCTCCATCCTCTCCTTCACTAACCCAGATCGCTAACCGGCTGCGCTCTGCCCTCCCCATTCTATCTCCCTCCCGCCCCTCGCCCTGCAGCCACAGTGATGGAGTACCTGCACGTGGCCCTGAGGCCGGTCTGCAACATCCCGCCACTGCTCACCCGCAGCGAGGTAAGGAAGAGGGGTACCCCGGGGGGGCTGGGCCCGCGCCTCTGCTTTCCCCTTCCTCCCCTTCTCCACACCTCCAATGCCTGCTGCCTCATCCCTTGGGCCTCATGGCTGGATACTTGTCGGGGTATCATTCACTCATTCATTGATTTGGTGGTACTGGGCTTTGAACTCGGGATTTGGTGCTTACAGGGCAGGATGCAACCTCCAGCCCTGCATTTCTCCTTTCTAAAACTCCAACCTCTGGGAGTTTTGCTCAGGCTGTGCCCTGTATGCAACGCCACAACTAAAGCTCATTCCTCACCAGTGATGTTCAAGCCAGGCGTAGCGTATCTTTCCAGTCAGACTGGAGGTTCCCAAAGGCAGGTTCCCGGATGTCACTTTTCAACCCCTTCATCAACCCGGCTGTCAGCACACATACACACACTGACACAAAACCTGGTATCGCCAGACTCACAGTTCATTCCTACTGCATGGAGACTCTGTGTTAACTACCTACCATGGATGGCAATGGTTTTATGCTTGCTTACCACATACAGATTCAAAGAGAGGATGCTTTCATGCAGACTAAACAGGAAGGCAACAGGTGATATTCCTGGATAATTGTTTACAAAAAATCCTTCCTATACATTTGCACTTGATTCTCTCAGCTACCCTGCTAACTTAGGAAGAGCAAAAAGATTATGATGAGAAGCTGAGTATTAGAGAAATGACTGATTTATCCAAGGCCCAGCACTTTGTAACCTATGAAGGAGTGGAAAAGGGAAAATATGCCAAAGACAGAAGCAATTCTTCTAGGGGTGGTGGTACATGCATTTAAGAGGCTAAAGCAGATGGATCATGAGTTGCAGGCCATACCAAGTCATGTGGGCTACATAGACAAAAAAAAAGAAAAGAGCAAGGGGGCAGTGGCTCATACCTATAATCCTAGGTACTTAGAAGGCTGAGAAACAAGTTCAGAATGAGCCTAAGCAGACAGATTCATGAGACTTTTATCTCTAATTAGCCAGGAAAAAAAACAATGGAGAAGAGGCATGAATCAAGTGGTAGCGAGCCAGCTGTGGACATAAAAGCTGAAAGCACAAGACCCTGAGATCAAGCCCTGGTTCCTGCAAAAACAGAAAAGAAAGAAGGAAAACAGGAAAGCTTGTTTAATTTACCCTTTTATCGATGCAGATTGGTAAAGAGAATCAATAAATACAATAGGAGGACATGAAAGTCAATGAAATACCCTCCTGGGTCACTTATATAAGTGATATACCTCTGGCTTTCAAACTCAGACCCATGCTGGGAAGGTGGCTCAGTGGTAGAGCACTTGCCTCGCATGCTCGAGGCCCTGCGTTCAATTCCTCAGCACTACATAAGAAAAAAGCCGGAAGTATGGCTCAAGTGGTAGAGCGCTAGCCTTGAGCTGAAGAGCTGAGGGACAGTGCCCAGGCCCAGAGTTCAGGCCCCACAACCGGACCCGAAAGAAAAAAAAATCAAAAATCAAACTCAGACCCATGTGATTCCAAGGTTAATTATTAGCTTGTAGAAAGTATCAGGAATCACATTGATGACCAACAAAAAAGCTGCCAACGTGCTACTGAACTGTGGCCAGTTATACTGATTTAGCCACCTTTCTTGTCTAAACTGGATTTCCTTGTTCAATTCAGGGATTGAGGATTAATTGGGGAAGTATGAAGGCTGAGGCTCGTGCGCCCTCTGCTGGTTCATCAGTGACACGCCAGTCCCCGTGTAGCTCACAGACCAAAGAAGAAAGCCCAGAAACCTAGATACACTCCAGGGAAATAAGGAGGAATTTAACTTCCTAGCCTGCAGAACAGCACATAAGCCAGCGATGAGGAAGTCTGGGAGAAAGCCAGTTAGTCCTGATCTCTGTGAACACTGTGCCAGGATTTGCTTATATGGTTCACAGCTGTTTCCCATATAATAAGTCCTTATTATTATTTTTTTTTGTCAGTCCTTGGGCTTGAATTCGGGGCCTGGACGCTGTCCCTGAGCTTCTTTTTGCTCAAAGCTACCATTTGAGCCACAGTACCACTTCTGGTTTTTTCTGTTTATGTGATACCGAGGGATCGAACCCAGGGCTTAGTGCATGCTAGCACTAAGGCAAGCACTCTACTGCTAAGCCACATTCCCGGCCCTAGTAATTTTTTTTTTAATATTGACTTATTCAGCTGGAATAAACTTACTTCTGTATTCCTTCAAGCCCTGAACTTACTACCTGAAGCAAGAAAGGGACAAAAACTGGATTCTTCAAGCCAAGCACCAGTGGCTCACTCCTATAATCCTAGCCATGCAGGAGGCTGAGATAGTAGTTTAAAGCCAGCCCAGGCAGGAAAGTCCATAAGACTTTCTCTCTCCAATTAACCAGAAAAGAAAGAAAAGAAAAAAAAAACTAGCTTCCCTGCCTCCTCCACAGAAGTGTCCAGGACCAGAGGTTTGACACCAAGCGGTGTTTCGCTGCTATAGGAAAATCATGTCGCTGGTGTCTTCTTCCACAGTGTCCAGCTTTGAAACAAGAGGAGGCAATGACACAGTATGACATGGTTAGAATGTGGCTGTTCTGTGTGACCTTAGGCAAGTCACTTAACCTCTTTAATCTTGAATTTCCAAATACCCACAGAGGAAATGGTGCCATCTCAGAGGAGTAAATGAGACAAGCCATATAAAAGCCAACCAGAGTACTGTTCCATAATTGATAGCTATCTTTATTACCCTTGAAGTTGGCGGGCCTCAGGCCATATGGCAGAGCAAGGGGGAAGGGGAGAGCAGCTCAAACATCTAGGAGGAACTACTTGTGCATAACTGAATTCTCTTAGGGACCCTTAATCAGTTCATCAGGGAGGGGTGAAGCCTGCGTCTGAGGCTGGGGAGCCAAAGCCAAAGTTATTCATACCTTGGCGGGGAGGTGGGAGTATTTTCCCTGAGATCCAAACTCTGGCCACAGACAGGAAGGACATTCGGCCTCATCTAGCTGGTATCTCAGAACCGATCCAAGGCCTTCTGAAAACCAGCACTGCCATGCTAGGCCGCGAAGAGGTGTTGATCAGGGTGTGAATTTAGCAGGGCTTCCGTGGGACAGGTGTGGGGATGGCACCCTGGAGGCGGGGCCCTCCAAAAAAGTGAAGCGTGGAGATGACCTCCCCAGGAGGGCATCTCAGGAACGAGACGCAGCAGCGGGTCCTTTCAGATCGCTGCGATGAAGGGCAAGCCCGGCCCTCTTTTCCCTTTCCCTGAAGGAGGCAGGGAATGCTCGGCCCTCCCACTAGCCCGGCCCCGGCTGCCCCGTCCCCCCCCCCCGCAGGTGCACAGCGTGGCCGTGACGCACACCTTCCGGATCGCCAAGGCCCGCGCGCAGCTGGGCTACGCGCCAGACAAGTTCAGCTTCGCGGACGCCGTGGAGCACTACGTGCGGTCCACGGCTCGGCAGCCCCGCGGCCCCACGGCGCGGACGCTCCTGCGGCTGCTGCTCGGGCTGCTGCTGCTGCTCGGCCTCCTCAGCCTGGGTCTGCACTTCCTGCAGCCTCTGCAGGCGGCCGTGCAGCGGCTCTGATCGCGCGCGGCCCGCGGGAGTCCGCCGGGCCTTTACCTTTCCCGGGGGCCGGTACTCGCCCTCCCACCGCTGGCCACGCCCTCCTCGTTTCTTGCTATTGGGCTGTTGAGCCCGCCTCCTCCCGACACGCCCATAGCCCCGCCCCTACGTCCTGGCCACGCCTCTTTCTCCACTCTGACTCCACCCTAGGACGTAGCCAGGTCTCATAATCTGCTCCACCTCAGTGGTACCACCTCCCGCTACTGGCCCGCCGCCTCTTCACTTCTGGTCCTTGGGCGGGCCTCTGAATGCTCACCCCGCCTCCTGAGCTCTGGTTGGACACGCCCAATCAAGCTCCGCCTTCCCCGAGCCCTGGCCACGCCTCTTTCTCCACCCTTGGACCTAGCTCTTTCTCACCACCTGCTTCACCTAGGGGACCTTCTCCCGGCTCCGACCCAGAGCTGGTGGGCCCTGACCACACCCTCTGGGCTCAATCCCTCCCGCTCCCAGGAGCGACTTTCCAGCCCCGCCTCCCGGGCGGGTGCGCTCTGGCCCGGTCGCCGCGGATTTGTAGGCCCGGTACGTGGCGAGTCTGCAGCCGCTGCCCGGGCATCTCCGAGCACGTCTGAGGTCGCTTTGTAATCCTGGGTTTCAGACCCGTTGTAGCCGCGTGCGTTTGATCTGCCCTCACTCACGCCGATCTCCGTGGGCTGATAGCCCGGGTGCGGGGCCACCTGGGACCAGGGCTTCCCTGCAGTCTGGCCGGGCCTTTATAAGTCTGGGCAAAGACTCATCAACATGAGTACAAATACGGCACAAGCAAGTTCCAGGGGAAAAAAAGGAAAATTAAAGAATTGAATGTCTCCAAATTTGTATCGTTTTGATGAGAAAATAAAATTTGGACCTATTTAAGGCTTTGATATTCTTTCGATGTGTTGTTGATGGCAATCTCCAGCCTCTTTAAGGAAGGGTTGAGCACCGAACTTCCCTTTCAAATGATTTGTTTTAAGTAGTACAAGGGGAGTTAATTCATGGTGTCAGGTTATGAGTACAAAACATGACTTGATCCGTGTTACTCCTTCCATCATCTCACCACCACCACCACTGCCACAGATCTTGTGTGTGTCTCTGCAGGGCTTGAGCTCTGGGCCTGGGCACTGACCCTGTGCTCCTGTTCAAGGCTAGAGCACTACCACTTTGAGCCACTGCACCACTTCTGGTTTTCTGGTAGTCAATTGGAGATGAGTCTCACAGAGGTTCCTGCCCCGCTGGCTTTGAACCGCGATTCTCAGATCTCAGCCTCCTGAGTAGCTAGGATTACAGGCGTGAGCCACCAGTACCAGGCTACCTCAGATCTTAATCCAGCCCTGCTCCCACAGAAACTGCACCTCCATCTTGATATGGACTGCGGGTACCAAAATACTAGTGTGTTAACAGATCGTGTGTGTGTGTGTGTGTGTGCTCACTGGGATTGGCTGAACTAGTACATGGCTCCTGTCACAGAAGAAAATAATCAAAGACCTATGGTAGTGGGGAACTATGCAATCACAGAAGTGTCTCTCTATTGTGAGTGAGGAAGAGAGTGTGTTCTTCTTTTTGCTAGGTGGGATTGTCTGCTTGCAGTAATCAATAATAATCTTTTATGGCTATGCTTGATAGCCCACATGGACTTTATTTTTTACTTTATTTGTGTATTTTTTGCCTGTGCTGGAGCTTGAAGTCAGGACCTTGCAATCTTGGCTTTTTCACTCAGGGCTGGCACTCTACCACTTGAGCCATATATCCTCTTCTGGCTCAATTGGAGATAAGAGTCTCTCATAGGCTTTCTGACTCAAGCCGACTTGCAAATGGGGTCCTCAGATTTCATATCCTTAGTAACTAGGATTACAGAAGTGAGCCACCAGGGTCCTGATAATGGCTTTTATTTATATGACTTGGCAGGAGGGGCAATACTGGGGCTTGAACCCGGGGCTCCCAGCTTGGCTTTTGTGCTTCAGGCTAGTGATCTAGCTCTGGAGCCACACCTCCACTTCTGGCTTTTTGCTGGGTAACTAGAGGTAAGTGTCTGCAGGATTTGTCTGTTCAGGCTGGCTTTGAATGGTGATCCTCAGATCTCAGCCTCTTGAGCAGCTAGGATTACAAGCATGGGTCACAGGGGCCCAATTTCAGCCTCATCTCTTGTTATTGGTCCATTCTGCTGACATTCCTGTATTACCTCCATAGCACCAGGCCTCACTGACACCTCCAATTGCCTATTATGCAGTATCAAGGCCAGCTAAACATTACTTTATTTCCCTTGGTCCAGGTTAGCAAGTTTCCTGGTGAACTCCCCTCAGAGGTGTAATTAATAATGAAAGTAAGCCAGGCACTGATGGCTCACACCTGTAATCCTAGCTACTCAGGCTCAAGTGGTAAAGTGCCAGCCTTGAGTAGAAAAAGCTAAAGGAGAATGCCCTGGGCCCTGAGTTCAAGCCCCAGAACTGGCACCTAAAAAGATAATTAATAAAAATATCTGTAACTGTGTTTTACACGATTGCCTTGCTCGGGCAATGGGGACCTCAGGATGAGCTGGGTTTCTGATCTAGTAGCTGGTTGTTGAATGAATAAACAAGGGCTCCTAAAGCAAGCCTGAAGACCATATAGGAAGTTGACACTGTGACCTCAAGGTTGACATCCCAATGTGGGGCCCATTCTACCAGACCCAGAGGTTTTGGGGTATCTGGCAGAGCCTCCAAAAGCTCTGGGCAAGCAGAGCCTAATCCAGAGTCATTCTCACCTTTCTTTGGCTTTGAGAGGTAAGGACACCTAATTCCTGTGGCCTCAGCCTACAAGCAGTTAGACATAGACAGCTTTTTAGGAGATAGGGGAGGAGTCTGGTTGGGGGGGGAGGGGTTGAGATAAGACCCCCCTGGAAGAAAATGAGCAGATTTTCTAATTTTTTTTTTAATTTTATTTTATTTTATTTGAGAACATACTGTACAGAGGGGTTACAATTACATGGGCAGGATAATGCATACATTTCTTACCAAGCATTGCAGCCTCCTCCTTTGTTTACCCTTTACCTCCCTTCCCAGCCTCCCCCCTCCCCCCCACCCAATCCTTCCCCACCTCCCCCCCCCCACACCGACATTGTAAAGCTCGTTTTTGACATGACATTTTGTACTTCTCATTGTTGCAACAGGTTAGATTTTCTAATTTTAAATATGTTTTTTATTATCTTTAAGTAGTAGAAAGGAGTTACCATTCAGTAAATCAGCTTATAAAAAATGCATCCCGACTGATTCACCCCTACCATCATTCTCCCCTCGTGTAATGGCTTTTTTATTTGTTTTGTTTTGTTTGAAAAGAATGGAATTGGTGAGAGAATTGGTGTACTGGGCTAGAGGGTGAAGAAGGCTTGAACTGATTCCTTTCTCGTCTCCCTTATTTTTTTCCTCTCCCTTATTTAAAAAAAGAAATAGTCTCAGGAGGAAGAAGAAGAAATTTTTAAAAAGAAGAAGAAATGAGGCTTGGAGATTCAAAGTTGCATTCGTAGTAGAAAAAAAGCAAAGGTACGGGTGTGGCAGCGGTGGGATTCGAACCCACGCCATCGAAATGACTGGAGCCTAAATCCAGCGCCTTAGACCACTCGGCCACGCTACCGCCCGCTTCTGGCTGCGTCCTTCACAGTTAAAGTTAGTGTGACGACGCAGCCCGCAGTGCAAGCTCCGCCCTCACAGATTTGCGCATGCTCAGTTTGCGCCGGTGGCTCACTTATGCTCGGCCCTAACTTTTTGAAACGGTTAGTCGCGATGGTCTCGTCACGGACCCCAACAAGGACGGTAGGGATGAATTACTAAAAAGGAAAGAAGAACTCTTAAAATGTTAAACGCTGATGTCATCCTCGCGCGAGTGCAATTTGATTTGCTTTTCCCATGAGATTCTGCCTGCGACCACCAGGTGGCAGTGCTGCGCTGCCGCTTCCTCCAAGCAGGGCGGGAGGCGGAATCCCGGGTTTGCAGAGTTCAGCCTGTGACCCCTCTGCTGCTTTCTTGGCAGGCGTGAGCACCCTCAGTCAGAAATATTAACCCATTTTACCCCGGGGAATCTGTCCTGGTTGTCCAGCCATAGCCAGCAGTAACCAGCCTCCCAAGATTTTTTGATGATCCAAGACATTTTAGAAAAATGTAACCAGTTGAAGGCCAGCCCATCAAACCTTCATTACCCACTTTTCAGAATTTCTCAGATCTGCCTCAAATCTTTTTTAAAATATAATTTTATTGTTATCATTCAGGTGTTGTACAGAGGATTTACCACTCCATAAGTCAGGTGAGTACTTTTGTGACAATGTCACCCCTTCCTTCACTTTCTCCCAATTTCCCCCTCCTCTTTCTGCCCTACTTCAAATCGTTAAAATTTAAAAAAGAAAAAGAAAAAGAATGGAGCCTATGTAAAGATAATAGAAAATATTTTTTTTAAAAAAGAATGGAACTTGTTTAGTGGTAGAGCACTTGCCCAACAGGTACAAGGCCTAGATTCCATGCCCAAAACAAAGCAAACACTGGTAGCTAAAATTCAACTCTCTTTAGAGCAAGTTCAAGGCATTGCTGTTGTCATGGCTACCTCCTCCTCCTCCTCCTCCTCCTCCTTCTCCTCTTCCTCCTCTTCCTCCTCCTGCTCCTCCTTCATTCCACAGCAGTTTCCAATCATCCTAGGTTTTTTGGTTTGTTTTATTTTCCTTGATTTTCCATGTGGTTATACATTTCTCTGCAACAGTAAGGAAGAGACAACACCCAGAGCTGTAAGGACAGTAGATATGTTAAACTGAAGGACGCTCTGGAAAAAGAACATGTAAGTATATTCCCTTAGGCGGCAAAAGGAACTTTACAGCTGGAATTAAATTCAAGATCTTCAGATGGGGTAAGTAGCCTATTTATTCCCAATGTAATCACCAGGGTCCTTACAAGAGATGCCAGCCCAGTGCTTGTGGCTCACACCTGTAATCAATCCTAGCTACTTAGCCATCTGACATGGGGCATTGT